GATTTAGGCACATGCTAAAAAATCTGACTAACCTTTTAACTGAAGATGTCTTAGTCCAATTTTCTGAAGGATGATAAAAACCTTACTGATGAAGAAAATGCTCTTATGAAGAATTTCTGCCAGGCAGTAGTCTTTAGTATTCTGCTAATTTACTGATTTTAGATGAGATTCAGTGTAAAAATAACAGTCACTTTCAGTTAGGTTTGGGACAGGAAGGGAGGTGATATTTGAATTTTGGCCATATGTCATGAATGTCTTGGGTGACTGAGCCTTCATACTACCCAGTGAAGTGACAACCTGAAGGGTTCTTCAACGGCCATAGGGGATGGAATATCAATTCCCATCAAATCAAATCCAATTTCAATTCCAATTCTAAAACCTAGTGAGGAACTCGGAAAAGCTTTTCCTGCAGTGCAGAAGAAAAACTGAATGCTTTATACACTGCAAGATATACATGTATAAGGTCTTAGCTGACCAAGTGTTTCGGAGTTTTACAACAGTTTTGCTTCCACTGAGACTCAGAGATTTGCTGGAAAGTTCAAGTAATTAGGGCTGATTAACAAAAGTTTAAATATAAACCTCATTGTTCTCATATCTCACATGATGAGGTCCCATTCAGAAATTTCAGAAGCATTGTGAAACTTTATGGCAGAGAGCTATAACACCTGCGGTTTCTTTTCAGAGGCTATACAAGAACTAGTTTCTTTTTTAATTCTTAATTGTCACTCATCAATATCACTGTGTGAAATAGTATCCTAGTGACTCAAAATGCTCACAAGATCAAAAACTTAATATATTAAAGTCCTTAAGTAATAAAACAGATTTACACTATTATGTGAATGACACTGTAATTTAAGGTGCTTGTCATCAATTCTGTTATCATTAATAACTGTATAAAGAAAATTCAGAATTACTTGCTATTCAGAATTTGCTATTAAATTGTACAGGAAATATTAATATGATGTTTATACATAAATAAATGATGAGTTTAAAATATGCCTACTTATTTGTAGGTTTCCTCAAGATGCATTTCCTATAGGAAATATTAACCTGTTTCTTTTTCAAACATATATTCTCATGGACAATTTCAAACAGAGTAACTCTCTTTTTCTAAACAATTTATTTCAGTGAAAGTGTTCTTTTATCCCAACAGAAGAAAAGTTGTTTTAACTGTCCTGCATTAGCTCATAGTCAACAAGACCCATATATACCCATTGAGACTTACGACACAGGAAAACAAATCCAAAACACATAAGAGGCCCAGAACAGGAAATTAGACAGCACTGAGAAAATGGGAAGAAAAGGAAGGAGATACTCTGAAAAAAATTCATTAAATATGTTACCTGCTCTTATTTTTGTTGTCTGTCCCCTGAATTATACTGCTTTTAAAATAGTATCAGTAACATTAAAAAAATAATGCCAAGATGGAATTTGAGATTATTTTTGCTTTAGAGTTTTAGTTGCAGACATGCAGACAAGAATTTCCACAAAAATAATCACATAATTAAATAATAATCTATATTTCCAACATAGTCTATGATTAAATGTGACTATGCAGGCTTGGATCCAGCATAAAAGTCATACTTTTCAATAAATAACACTGTAGAAGAGCATTCTTTCTCTTTATGCATTACATCTTAATCTACTACATAGATAGATTATGGGCTTGTCTTCTTGAGTTAAAAACCTGTGAAAAAAATTGTGGTGTGTGATCCATCCCTTATATCATCTGCAATATACAGTCTGTTGTTAATAAATTTGTGCTTAGCTGCTGTCAGTATCACTATCCAAATTAATTTCTAGAAGGTTCCTCTACCTGGCTGAAGATTAACCTGTAACTGCTACAGATGTTTGATGATAGCTATCACCAATGAATAACAAAATCAGCCTTAGATTATAAAAAGCAGATATTTTTTTTGCTCTCAGAAAAGAGAAAATAATTTGCTTATTGTAAAGGTGATAGAGATTTGGCCAACAGCTGGAGGAAGGGAATGAAAGTTAAATCTCCTGGATTCTGATCCCATTCTTTTTTTGATTGTTTTTTGGACAAATTTTGTAGGAATGGACCAGGAAAGGAAACAGTATTGACTTTGTCATGCTTAAAATGCTCTACTGCCTTTAGCTCTGAGTTAAATGCTCCCTACTCACAGCGTCTGAGGAAAGTTAGGAGTCTAAAGATTGTCAGCTGCCTGCACAAAAACATAGATCATAGGTTTCCTCCATTGGCAGTCAGAAAGTAAAAGAAGCTCAGGAGAAAATGGGGGCTCAGCTCCCTGAAATGCAGAGCACTGTCATTTGGGCTAGAGGGAGGTGCCAGAGGCCCCAGCCTTCTACCAGTGATGAATGCCCAAACTGGGTTTTCTTTTCCTGCACAAGTGGTGCTGGAAGCTGGGGGAGCTGTTCTCTGCTCCCCTCCCAAAATTCCTCTCAGGAAAGGGGAGGATCTGGGTTTCCGTTCCAGTGCCACATTAGGGCAAGAGCAGAAGCCCCCTCTCCCCAGTTGAATGTCCCAGGCACTGGTTTGCCGTGCGGACCACCATCGGATGGGTCCTGCTTGTGTTTTTTGTGAGGTGAGTGTGTGTCCCTAATGGGCTGATCAACAGGAAGAGTGAGGAAGATGCATCCAGATTTTTGCTTGTGATTTAGATTGGACTTGTCCTTTCAGGGCCTGTGTAATTGCAGGCATATGCAAAAGCTCCCCCTGGAAGTTTAAATTTACTGAAAATATCTTGAACAGGGTGAAGCAGCAGTTGCAAGGGTGTTTAAAAAGCTTAAATTTTGTACCTGAATCCCTACTGCAGTGTTAAGCCCTAAATACCTTTTCCCTGGAACACTCTGTTGAGTAACAGAGCTTTCGACTTTCCTGTCCCTTCTGATCCTGGTGATAATGCGCCACATATGAAGTTTAAGAAGGATTAGAATTTCTTTTTCAGGTATCCAGTGAACATTCCAGATTCAGCATTTTTGTTGGCTTATACTCCTGAAAAAGAAGTTATCTAACTAGAAAACCAGCCAAAACTAACACCTCTGCAAATGCCTTGATGTTCAGCAAGCAAAGTTATGTAATTTTTGGGTCTCAGTTGTTTTAAGTGAGCCAATAATCAGAAACTAATGAACAGCTAATTCATTCCGAGCAGAGACTAAATGTGGATCTAAACAAGGAAACCTAAAACGAAATGTTGTCATGGTGATATTCAGGAGACTAAGCAAGCAGTGTTAAGCTCCTCTTCCTAGGAGACCTGAGAGACTAGCTCAAATTTTTATCTGTCATGGTTAATTTATCATTTCACCGAAACAGTTGTCAACACGCAAAGTATGTAGAAAGCTTGTATCAGGTACATTTTGGTTTTTGAGGGCAAAACAGATTTTTTTTCCAAATCACAATTTCAGATTCAGCCTTACTTAAAGAGGAAAAAATAAAATATTTGGGGGAGTTCTTGCTATTTTTAGCTTTTTGCTAATTATAAGGGCAATTAAATATTGAGATTACTTCCGCTTAAGTACGACTTCATGAGGCCACATACTGTGGTGTGTTTGGAATACTAATTTCTCCAAGAAAGGAAGCAAGGAGAGTAGATGCTTGCAAAATTTATACATGCACACTGCTAGATTAAAAAAGTGGTGGTCATAGGACAGAAAAGAGTTATGTGTTGTCAGTCTTGGAGCTACTGCTTGTATGGAAGGTAAAATAAGGCCTCAGCATCAGCATGTGACTTAATACACATTGGTATTGGTTTAAAATTAATTTAAGCTTTAAAAAGTTTTTATTTTCAGTGCCTCATGCATTAATTTAATTAATTTAATTATTAAAGACAAGCCATTGGATTTCAGTGTTAGTTTAAACTCTGGGTTCAAATATCTCTGAATTAGGAGTATATGACTACTAGCTGGCAAATTATTGAGGTTCAATTAATTTCCCATCTCAGTAAATTCAAGAAAATACGTCAAATGCCAGGCTAAGCAGAATATCTGGTTATTTACATCTGAATCCCTTAAGAAGCAATAACAAAAGTTCAGAAAAATGACTACAAATTATTTACATTCAATTAATTGGAGGTACACAAAAGTACATTTAAATAAATGAGTCACACTATCTTGATTTATGACTTCCTTTTAAATTTAGACAGACTTTGCATGCTACAAGACTAATACTAAGGAAGACATCACTGTTTTGATATAAATTGAGATGCCACAAGTAGTTTAGCATCACAGTAAGAACCTGGCTTGTTCACTTTTACAGTCTAAAAAAACCAGAGTAATGACAGCAAAGTACAGACACTGCTCCTGATTATTCTTTGCTCTCTTAAATCAGGATGCTGCATGCGGGTGGGAAGCATCAAGCCCAGGCATGTGGAGTGTGCTCCAAGAGGTAAAGCGAACAAAGTGGATCTGGGAACCTTGCTTTGCAAGAGATTCTCCACCACTCCATAATTATCTCCATGGGAGGTGACTGTGGCCAATAGTCAGGCTGGAATCACGGGATGTGAGTGATGAGTAGAAACAGGAAGGTCCTCAGAAACTTCTGTCATGATGCTTCACTTCAGAAATATTGGTGTTAAACAAATGTGTTAGAAGGAAAATGTCCACCATCAGGCTCTGCAGGAACTCCCCTGGTATGGGGTTTAGGTGGCATTTCTGATAGAAGTGGAATGTATTTTTGTTGGCTTTTCTAATATTTGATTTTATTTCTTAATGATTATTATTACAGTTGTATTACATGTGGTTTCCTACTATCCTTTTTCCTCTATTGAGTTAATGAATTATTAAAGTCATCTTTTATATATAATTAAAAGGTGTTACTGTATTTTTTTTTTCTGTTGACACCCATAATTAACAACAACCTTTCTGTTTTATTTGGAGGTTGTACAAATGCCTGGGGAAAAATAATAATTGACTATTAATATTTTGGAAGCCAAAATTCATGCTTGCATCAGAAGGAAATTCTACAAACTGACCATCCCTATATTGTACCATTTCAGGGAGAAAAGCTGCATATTTACCCCTTTTATGTAGGAGTATGCTGGCATGCCGGCGTCCATTTCCATTCTCAACGTAGCACGAGTAATTCCCGAGGTCTGCCTCTTCCACAGAGTCAAGAATCAATGAGATAGAAACCTCCTGTTCCCCAAGATGTTCCTTGAGAACCCTGAGAAAAAAGCAACCATCACTGCCATTATTCTTGTATCATAGCAGAGCATTAGATAATCATGACATAATAATTCTACTTGCTATTCACAACTATCTGGCTTCAAATTTTGCTATGGTTTGATACAATCTTAATTAAATCATAACATGCCCTTTTCTTCCTCACTTCTAATGATGAGGTTTGGCTTTGTAGATGTTAATGAGAGCTTCAGTTAATTGTCTTCTTTAAGCACACTGATAATATACTATTGCACACTGTGATGGAGACCCTGATCAGTAATATGTGAAGCCTTGAAATCTTAGAAGAGAGAAAAATTAACAGTTATTTTGCATTTTAAGGCCATACTATGTGTCTGGGCCAAACACACAATTTGTGCACTTTCTAAGGCTTTTCAACATGCTACTCAAACAATGTGTTCATGCCATGGTCTGAAAAAATATTTCTAGAATGTATTGTAAAATTTGACTGTGTATTATAAATCAGTAGAAAGAACTGGTACACTGGATGCCGCTTGATCATACAAGTGATAAATAAAAGACCTTCTGAGTAAGGCTCCACCTGTCTTCACATTGCTTTCTTTTCCTCTTAGCAAGCCCATCAGTGGTTTTAGAAACCGAGGAAAGCAATTGACAAACCTTTCCAGCCTGCTCTCTCACATCACACCTGACAGAAGAAGTGGAAACCAGACTTTCTGTTCCTCCCTCCACAAAAAAAGAAATTTGTAATGAGATTCTTGTCACCTTTTTGGCTGCTTTCAGAATGCCAAGTCTCTGGATGAAGGGTTTAGGAAAAGCTTTAGAAATATAGCTGATCTCATCATGTACCATTTAGTGTATTGATCTTGACTTTTCTAGAATAAACTTGAAGTGAACTGGGGTGAAATATGCTTGTCTATATCTGGTGATAATGACCTTGAATGCCTATGTGGTTTTCTTGATTTTGTTAAAGAAATTGTCTCTGTTACTTTGGTTACACCGAGGAAGTCCAAGGTTTAGCTAAAAATTAGTATGACTTCATGTCTTTTAATGAGATAGCAAACTCCTATGTAAGAAGTGAAGTGTAAATAAGCCCATTTTGTTCTAATATAGACAATCACTGTAGATAACACATCTGTGATTATCTAGCTTCCTTTGTAACACACAGATTTACCTTCATTTCTGGGTTTATCCATGATATATAGAGACAGTGATGTACACACATACAGAATTATAAATGCAAAAGGAATCTCTTCAGGTCCAAGTAGATACTTCGTATTGGATAGGAGATGGTATGCTATATCAAGCATGTAATTCTCAATACAAAACCACTTTTTTCTCAATTTCCAAATGAGGCAGCACTTTTAGGAGCAGAAGTACATGACGTGAATTGCCAGATCCTCTCTAAAACAAGTATTTCAGCAGATAAAAGCAGCCCACATAGCAGGAAGCTTGGCTTTCACAGGCCAGATAACATCCCAGGAAACTGAGTTTTTTCCTTGAAGAAAATAAATCAAAACATTCCGAAAGAAAAGCCAAACTTCAGCACTTATTTAAGGCTCCGTGTTTTACAATACTTCCTTTGAGCTGTTTTTCTTGATGTATTTATTTTTTTTCTAATTTAATTTTATTAACTGCCTTAATGGTTGCTATTGTAGATTGCCACAGTTTGAAAAAGTCACTATGCAAATTCCAGTCAGTTAACACTACGGTACTCATCAGGCAGCTATTTTGCTTTTGCAGCTCTCTAACATCAGATCTGGCCAAGGCATGCATTTTCTGTTCTCTGCTGGATAAAGTTGAAAGTGGAGTTGAAAAGGTAAAGAATAGATTTTACAAAAACAGGGATCAGATCCAAAGTGTTCCTGAGTTAGTCTGTGATAACAAGTATTACATTAACTATCAAAAAGAGGTATTGACTGAAAAAACAAAATGCTTTTTCATTTACCTGATATCACTTTCCCAGACTCGACTATCATCCAAATCTTCAATAAATTTCTCCCCTTTCATCCAGTAGATTAAAGGACTGACATCTCCACTATATCCAAAGAAAGCTCGGCAGGTGAGATTAGCAGAACCGCCTGTTACAATGAATGTAAGAAAATATGTTATTTCAATTTTTTTTAAAAAAGTTTCATTTTGAAATCAGTTGCTTTTGTTGATTTTTAAAAAAATTGTATCTGTAGAGACCCTCAATTTCCAACTGCCGCTGAAAATGTCCAAAAGTATCTAATTCTTTTACCACTTGTGCTCAGTGTAGTTTCTGAAAATAAATACAATAAAAATTAAATTAAAGATTACATAAGAACAGGATTAATTTTTGTATTCTTTCATCAAGTTTTCTGTCTGGTAAGGAAATGAAAGACTATGTGGTTTTTTGTTTGTTTTTTTTTTTTTTTTTTTTTCAAAAAGAGCTAACTTAACCAAAAATTTCCATGTTTTCTATGAAAACAGATAAAGTAAAATAGATATGCAATTACATGTCTGTAAACTCAGCTTTACAATGGTTTCTGAAGAGGCCTACAGTTTCCTGTAGGGTACTGTTTCCAAGGGACATCCAGTAGAAAGATGTGTGCTCATCGCTAAATTATCTTAGCAGGGAAGCATTAAATGCTGAAACTTGAGAGATGGACACATGTGAACTTATTCTGTACATTGTGGGACACATCTCACCATATTAATAGGAATAATAATTAAGTACATGCAGCAAGGACCAGAAATTCTATATATGTTCAGTGTTATTTAATCATTATAGTGAAAATTAAAAATGTAATATGTCTTCATGGTTAATTTTCATTCTGTAGTCTTACATTGTATTAGTACCACTTGGTTTGGGGGTTTCAGAAAGAGCACATACAGGGATCAAGACGGTACTTTGCACAATTTTTGTGCATTGCTAAAATCAGATTAAAATAGAGGACAGTCACATGGTTAAAGGTCTCCTCTGCTGTAAGGATACTTGTCTCAACATGCACCAACTCTTCTAAACTGCTATGTGAATTTTTTAGTGGATAATTACACAGTGATTTAAGGAAATGTGATTTAAGCAGTGTTTATTTCCCCCTTGAGCAGAGTATTTTCATGGAGTTTATATTACTGCAGAGGAAAAACTCATATTTTATTTACAGTTTTAATTTTTGATTTTAGGATTTTAAAACTGACTGACCTCAGCTCCCAGGGGAAAAAAAAAAAAAAAAAAAAAAAAAAAAAAAGAAGCTGCATTGTTAATATTACTTCATTCTGTACTGAGATGCCATGAGAAGACCATCCGCATTCAATGAATTTCCTTAAAAATTTGGGTCAGGACCTGGTCCTTCTCAAATATATGACATTAATATTTGAACATCTTACTTATTAGTATGGAAACAAATGAAGGCTGCTATATAACAAGATGAGAAATTATTAAATAAATGTCTTATCTGAAATGATTTGTGGTTTACTGTAAAAATATCTGACTCCACTATCAGGCTTGAACTCTCACATCCACACCATAAAAGGTACAGAATCAAATCTTTTTAATCAAGATGTGCAACATCAAGGCAAGTACCATCTATGTCGCTTTCACAAGCTGTTCAGGAACTGAGCTGCTTTTAGTCATTTCATGAATTTTTCGTTGGTGCCACACACTTTGCCAGGAATGCCTGCTAAGGAGACAGGAATATCCCAGTACTTGAAATTAGGATGGAGAAGAGGGTCACATTCATAATCAAAAGTATGAAATTTAATCTCTGACTAATGAGACATTTTGATAATCTCATCTGATTTAGAGCAAAGTTAACAAATGTAAGCTAAAGATCTTCAGTGAGAGGGCAAAAACTCTCTTTCTAAAGACAACCACAGCTCCTGTTTCTATACCTCACGGAGCAATGGTCAGGACATCTCCCTGGAAACACACCTCCTAAATCTCTACACAGCTCAAGAAGTGCTATTTGGAAGCACTGGAGAGAAAAATTTTTGCAGTCTTGAAGCCATTTGCAGGGAATAAGATGAGTATTGGGACAGCACTTAATGTGGGTCAAATGCATGAAAAACTGTAATGGCATACAATAAACTTCCTGGTTGTGCCCAGGACATTTTAACAGATGCAAACACAGTTTCTTATAGCAGTTGTGTAGCAGATATAAACTAGTTTGTTTGTTTGTTTTTGGTTTTTTGTTGTTTTGTTGTGCATAATAATTATGATACATGAACATGTGAAAATGAAAATACAAAACCTTAAAGGATTATGAATATCTTGGCCACAGTCATCCAATCTAGCATATGTTCAGGGCTGTGAAATGCCTAGTAACTTCAGCATTGATGGACTCTGATCACTCTCCAAATGGGAGATGGTACCTGCAAATCTAAACCAAAAGCACTGAATAACCCCTATGGCATCTGGATAATTGGATAACCCCTATGGCATCATCTACCTGTCTTAGAGGGAAGAGTGCTGCCTAATGCATCACTGCCACTTCTTGGGCTTTTTCTGGAGCTCTCCCACCAAGTCATGGGCCAGTTAAAACTTTTTAGCTTTTGAGAGCTGGCAATATCACAGGTAGAGGGACTGTAGCTTCTGGCCAATTTATCCATGATTCACAGAGTTTAGGCTCCACAAATGGTGAACCATCAAAGCTCTCCAGGCTCCTGCATCTAACAGGCACCCACTGAGACCTGATTTTTGCACTGTGCAGGCCTCTGAGCTTTTTACAGATGAATATTAACACATATAGGTTTGTGTTTTTTTAAAATTAACACCTTTTGTAAGGTCAAAAACTGTCAGAAAAAAACAGTTCATAAGACTAAGGCTCGTTTCCTCATTAAATGCTAAAAGAAATTTCACCCTTAAATAAAATATGTAAACATATTTTTAAACAGAGAATCCAAAGTTTCCATTCAACATGAAATATTTAAACCTGAGAAATAAAGTAGGAAGGATGCAATGCCTCTTAGTAGTACTATGTCGATTACAGTCCCTGAGCGAAGGTCATTAGCGTTCTGGGTGTTCAGCTATAAATTACCTATAGTGTCTACCTTGACCAATCTTCACAATAAGCCAGTGGGAAGTTCATTAGCAGGTCATCAGGAAAGATTCAGTGACCAGCTAATGACCAGCTGTGACCATTAATGAGGAGGTCTGTTACTCCAGAGCTCACAGCTCTTTGCAGAGGGCAGTGGGGCTCCCTTGGTGGAGCAGAGGTGCTCACAGCTGCAGGAACATGTAAGTAATGGGCAAAGGCTGACTGAAGGGCAATGTTTGAGCAGACAGAATATTTTGGGAGCACATCTTGACCTCTCCTCCAGAGCTACCCTCATGTGAGTGAGTGTATGCTGTAGGATGGGCTGCATTTTTTCCCTAGAAGTGCACCTTTGAAGTGAGCAAAGTATGCCTAGCCTGGCACAGAGCGGCTGCTCTGCATGGGCGGTCTGTTTTTAAGAAGTCTGCAGATTTTTAGAAAACATGCAAAATTTAAGTAAGTAAATACATTAACTTCTTTGTTTTATGTTTAAGCTAATATACAAAACAACCTGTCAGCAAATTAATAGATATCACTCACAGTTAACCCTGCACAACTATTTCCCTCCATGTATTTTCTATGCTAAGAAAAACTACAGAAGTGATTTGAAAACTGTAAAAGTCTGAAGAATGGATATGTAGTGCTTTCTATGCCATTAATTTAATTTTTCCTGTAAATAGTGGATTATTATAGTTTTATAGTCTATATTTGAAGGAAATTAAATAACATGTTTTAAATTAACTACACATTTTAAATTTAATTACTAGGGAAATCCATCTCTCTCTGTGTGTCCCCTTTGCTGTGAGATGTTTTAAATTCTTGAGAATGTTCTGTTTCAAGTTAGGTCCTGGGTAAATTGCTATTTTATGGACACTGGAAAAGTCCAAAGGCATGAGATTAGAATTATTAAGTGAAACTGATAGTGTTGGTGTTTTTATTAACACACCCCCTCCCCAACAAAAACACCCCAAACATCCTCAAGAAAATATAAAGAGTAAAATTACACTTTTGATCTCTCAGTATAATTATCATTTTTTACTGTGATATAATGCAATAAAGACATGAAAGAGAACACCTAAAAAGTAAGCTTTCTCCATCACCTTTTTTTTCTGAAGATGAGTATGTTCTTACTGTGTTGAGCTGATTTTTGTAAAAATTGGAGCATATAGCACTACATGTTCCTGCTGCTTGCTGTGAAAAAGTTGCACTGTCAACTCTAGCCAACTGGGTTCAAGCTAAATTAATCAAAAGCTCTTTGCCATCTAAACTGAGAATAACTTTTGTTACACAGTATGCTTTCAAGTAGAGCAAAGGAGGGACCACAACAAAGTCTATTTCCTTGAAAACAGCAAATTCTCTCAGCAGAGCAACACACCAGTTTTGTGTTTATTTTCTAATTGGCAACATTTGGGGCACTTTGCGAACTACTGCTATGGGAGCCTATGTCCAGGAGAGGGCACTGTCTAACCTCTAAACATTTGACAAAAAACTGTCAAAGTAAATTCCTAGTGTTTCAGCTCAAATTAAAACCATCAGCCAGCTAAGAACCTGCTAGTTGTAATTAGCAAATAGAGAATGTTTTGTGATTAGTGAAATGTCATCTTGTATGGGCAGTCTAAATTACATTTGCACCATTAGTCATACAAGTTAGCATACACTGTGGTGGCACCTATTCTAGCCTTTGATTTGACAGATTCCTCAGTGAAGGACAACGATTTTTTGTTGGAAGCAATGATAATTATCAGACATATTCTGCAACCTCTTTTTAGAAGAATCCTCAAAGACGTATTGTGGAAGTGAAGCATGTGAGAGCCATGCTCAGCATCTAGTAATATTGAGAGTCAAAAGAGTGAGAATGTTAATTGTACTGAAATATGGGACTTTCTTTTACTGTACAATGTAAACCATTTATAAAATTTATGCACAGGCAATACCTACACACTTATAAGTATGCCATTTACCTGTGATGTTAACACTCCAAAATGAAAATATAAAAGGCCAAGGCAGACATAATCAAAATCTCTCACGTTAACTGAATACCATTCTTTCTGTTTACATTAGAAATAAAGCAAAACCAAAAAATC